AGTCTTGCTGGTGCTCCAATGGGGTCAGACAGTTGATTTGTCATGGAGAATTGGTGAAAAGAAATGACATTTTCACAAAGAACTGTGGGCAGTGCCCTGGGTTTGGAAAAGCAATGATAAGTGGCTAGCTGAGGCCAGATGTGGTCCCCAAGAACCTGGGGTCAGAGCAGACCACAAGCTGGCCACAGTCAGTCAGCATTTTTAAAGCACCAAACGGAGTGGGTTTCATCAGCTTCTGAGAGGAGTGGAACGTGGATTTCCCAGGCAAACTGCCTGGATTTAAACCCTGACCACGTGTGACCTTTCCCAGGCAATGGAGTCTGTCCGTGCCTCAACTATCTCTTTCTGAAAACTGGGAATGATCACAGAATCTATTTCACAGATTGAGCGTGTTAATAATGAGTGCCACTGAAGTGCTAGCAGCGGTTACCAGAAAAGAAAGAGTCCGGTAGCAAGCATGCAGATATATTCTTAGCTCTCCGCAAAGTAGGTTATGGTATAAAAATACCGTTAAATAGTAACTAAACAGGCGTCACCTTATTGCACATCTCAGCAGCAGCCTCAGCGTGTGCACCTACTCTTCAAACTACCCTACATTAAAGGACCACAAGCTGCCCTCCTCCAGCCTCCTTGGGCCCAGGCCAGCAGGCAAAGGCCAAGGTCAGAGGCCACTTACCCCTTCCTCACATGTAGAGGTGCAATCCTGGGGACCTGTCTCCTGCCTTTGTGACAGTGAGTGGCCCAGGCCCCAGTGCATCTGATGGTGGGTTGCAGAGTATGAGGAAAGACAAAAAGAGGGGAGGGGTGGGAGGAGGAAGGGAAGTATGGAGGAGGGGCAGCATGTGGAACAGCCTGCTGGAGGCCCAAGGACATGGAGGACCGAATTGACAAAGGCCTAAGGCAGGAGGGCCTGGAGTGATCAGGGGAGGCAGGGAGAAAGCCAAACACAGCAGCAAACACAAGGTTCCTCCTCTGCCAGTTTCCTCTCTTCCCTAGCAACCAGCTTCAGAGTGAGGGAGACTCAAAAATTTCCTAAGTTTATCTATTAACTATCTAGCAGGCCTCCCCCCTGCTCAGAGCAGGATAGTCGATCCCCAGAAAGCACCAACAGCTAGCAGGGACACTCCTAGTGAGTGGACGGGTCACACCCACCTCAAGGTGCAACCTGTTGTCTGCTGACTGGGGGCCCCTGGCTGGACTCAAGACACATCAAGGTCAGATCTGGGCCTATCTGAGATTCAGGTAGTGCTGGGTTTAAGGTCAGGAGCCTTCCTCACCTCTTGGGCTTGGGTTTTATCTGTGAATCTGTAGTGGGCAGAGGGCCTCCTGGTCAGCTCAAATCAGATAAAACCTCTTGTGTACAGCACAAATTAGATGATGCTATGCTCCAACATGGGCCACCATGACCTCAGCATCCTCTCCTCCAGAACAGGAGGGGCCCATGAACCCCTGAAATTATATCCAGTGCCTCATGGATGACGCCCCAAAAGTGGAAGATTCACAGGCCTCAATCCACGACCTGGAACCACTTCCACCTGTTAGCACTTAACACCCTGCAGGGGCGTCTCCAACACAGCCTGCGGGTTGGGGTGGCATGGCAGGGAACAACCCTACTGCTCGGGATACACCTCAAAGAAACTCTCACCCCTGCACTCGCAGACATGGTGTTGGTCACATGGTGGGTAAGACTGGATCTAGGAGGCAGCCACCACCCAGCCGTCCACCATCACAACGTGTCAGTGCACACAGATGTCAGTAAGACCATGCTGAGTGGGAAACAAGTTCCAGATTTTCCCCTGAAGTTAAAAGAAAATACACTTAAGAATCCCATATTAGCTGGGTGCCAGTGGCTTACGCCTATAATCCTTGCTACTAGGGAGGCTGAGATCAAGACAATCAAGGCTCAAGGCCAGCCCAGGCAAACAGTTTGCAAGACCCCCATCTCCAAAATAACCAGAACGAAAAGGACTGGAGGTGTGGCTCAAGTGGTAGAGTGACTGCTTTCCAAGCCCTGAGTTCAAACTCCAGTCCCCACAAAATAAACAAAAGAATCCCATGTTAGAATTGCTACTTATATCTGTATGTTAATGTATCAAACAGCCTGAGAGAAAGTCTACAAATGTCTAACTGAGGTCAGTGGGGGAGGAAAATGGGTCACTTAATATTTGTTTGTAATACTTATTAGAATTTTAAGTGACCACTTAAAGCCCAAATGATAAACAATTTTCAGTTCTGGAGAGAAGAGACATGGTGTGCCTTATTGTCCCTGGAATTTTTGGATTTTTAAAATCTATCCCATAAAATGGTGGTTTAGCACCGCTAGCTGCCCCACGTGTGCTGAGGACTTCCCTACTTTGCTCTGCACATGCTCCCAGGACCCCAAGCTCAAGGTGGCTCTGTGTCCCACTGCCAGGCACATGCTCATGAGCCTCACACACTAAGACACCAAGCAGGACAGGCCCCAAAGGGCAGTTCCCCTTGGCCAACAGACCTGCCACCCTGAAGATCTGGAGCAGAGACAACCACAAAGGGACTGGGCAGGGGAGGGGAGAGGCTGGCATGCCATCACACACGAGCAACTGTGGGCCTACCACCCAGCCCTTCCGCCAAGCAGGGAGTTCAGCATTGCCTAACTGGGTGCCAGGGGCTACAGCTTTAAATAAACTTGGGACGCATCCACCTGAGGCCAGGAAGCAACACCAAATGTGCTGGGCAGGCGCTGTCAGCAACCAGCCAACAGAGCCACCACAGGCCGCACGCAGTTCCCACAGCTTGGCCTCGAGGTGCCCTCCCCTTCATCCCCTGGGGCCTGCCACCTCCAGGACTGCTTCTGGCTAGGATGCCTCCCTCCTGTCCCAGATCACAGTGGCTCCCAGACACTAGTCTTCACTTCTCACCCTTATACCCTTGCATGTGCTCTGTCCTGGTGAGGCTTGTTCTCTTGCTTACCTAGAGAGGAGCTGGCAGTACCAGTCCTCAACATCTCCACTAGACAACACCCCTCAGCCTCTACCCCCAGTAGGGTGGCAATGGCCCAATAACCAGCTGACGTTGGAACCAGAGGCTCAGAGAAGAGCCAGCCACCTTCACTGTTCATGCCAAAGCGAAGAAGGGAAGGGCCTTGGTGAGGTGCAGGCTGGGAAATGAGGACACTTAGGGAAGTCCTGAGAGGAGCTTGGAAGAGACCAGAAGGCAAGGGTGAGGGCCTGAAGGCCTGTGCTCCTGGGCACACTCAGAAAAGGTGACAAGAAGGTTGAGGGCCTCCCCTCTGCTGCCCTCCTCAGAGAACCAGACACAGCGCTGGACATAGCTCTGGAGGAGACAGGACAGCTAGCTAGGGACACAGCACTCATCTTCAGGACTGCAGAGCCATCCCCCACACTCCTGGGCCTCTGGTCCACATGGAAGGACTCCCCAGCCTGTCCCCTCTTCCTCATAGGCCCCAAGCCCCATTCAGCTCCTGGAAACTTCTTCACCACCTGGATCCAGGAGACCCACAGGAGCACACAGCCCTGGGAAGGGGTGCTGGGCTCTCACAGCTCTGGGTGGCTCTCCAGGTCCACCCAGCCCCCACTCCTTGCCTTTCCACTCCTACCCCTTGCCATCCAGCAGAGCCTTCCTCCAGCTACTCCACTCAGCTCCCCGCCCACCCCCCCAGGCCTGACCCGGATCCTTTGGCACGCGCAGGGAGGGAGAAGTGGGGAGTGCACACACCCCCACACTCCTCCAGCTGGGCACTCCACAATTATCAATGATCGGCGTCCCTCGCCCACCACAAGCTTTCACCAGACACTTTTTTAGTAAAGGAAAAAAAATAAAAATAAAAAAAAGGATTTGCTGCTGGATGTGTAAGAGGGAATCTCGCCAGCGCCCCCACGGCTCACAGGGATGGGGGAGGAGGGGAGAGGGTGGGGGAAGGAGAAGGAGGACCAGGCTCCGGAGTTCTGAAGCCAGACCCAAACAAGGCCAGGTGCAGCCCCCTTAATTCGCAGAAGGAAGGTTCCAGACCAGAGAAGATGCCCCCAAGGGGCTTCCAGATCCCCAACCCCAGGGACAAAGCAAGTTCTGGACGCTCCAAACCAGGGCTTGCGCCCTCACATGGCGCATGCTGCGGAGCAGAGTCTGCGAGGAGCGAGGACACCTGTTCCCCACGAGGCCCTACCTGAAATCAGCCCGCAGAGCTCCGCCCCTCCAGGCCCCCCACCACAAAAATAACCCTCCAAAAGCCCAACCTCCACCTACCGCGATGACCCCGAAATCAGGAGCGCAATCGGGTTCTCCGCCTCACCACCACCCCCATCCTCAACCCTGGTGACCCCATACGGGTTCCCTGACCTCGTCCATCCCCTTCCAAAATCTGGATGTGGGGGGGGGTTGGGAATCCTCCAGAACCCAGATTCCCCAAGGGACCCGCGGCAGAAGCTGCTCCCACGCTGGCGCCCCCAGCGCAGATGGGGCCACGCGCAGGAGCAGGCGCGGAACAAGCCCGCCACCCCCGCTGTCCGCCTGCCGCGCGGGTGGGGGTGGGGACACGGAGTCCGCATTGTCGGGGGGGAAGCGACCTCCCCCTCCCAGGTCAGCGGCGACCCTTCGGGGCGCTCCTGCCCGGGCTGCGCCCCCGCGCGCCCCTCCTCTCTGACCTCCCCGCCGCCAAATGCGTCACGTCTGCCGGGCGCTCTGGGGACACCTGCTGCCGCCCCCGCCGCGCCGCGTCCGGAGCTCTGGAGTCCCGGCCCTGGCCGGGTCACCGCGCTGGGCAGGGCCGCACGCGCCTAGGTCCGGCATCCGGGCCCGGGACCCAGGGCTCGGGAGTCGGGGTGCTGTGCTCAGGCCCGGAGCCGGGAGCCCGGAGGAGCCGGGGGCGCGCGGGGCCGCAGTGCGCCCCGAGCCCGCGGCAATGGGGTCCCAGCCTTCCCCCCACCCCACCCCATCCCAGGGTCCCAGGGTTCGGGGGTCTCCGTACGTCCGATCATCCCGCCCGCCCGCGCCCAGGCTCTTACTTGCCAATATCCTCGTAGAGCTGGTACTCGTCGGTGAAGCGGGTGCAGGTCACCGTGGTGGCCATGGCGGCGGCGGCGGACGGGCTCGGCGTGCGCTCGGCTGCGCTCGGGTGGCGGCGACTCCGGCTCCAGCTCCCGCTCGCGGGCACGGCGGCGACACAGGCGCGGGCGCGGGAGACACCTCGGCTCGCGGCGCCGGGCGGGGGCCGGGCTGGGCTGCTGCGCCGGGCGGCGAGCGCACGCACGCGAGATCTGCTCGCTCGGTCCCCGCCAGGAGCGCGCCGCACACCTACGCGTGGGGATGCTTGGGCGCCGCTGTCACCGCCGCCCCCTGCACGCGCCTCGCCCGCACCCTGCGCACGCCGTGCCTGCACTCGCACCCGCAACCGCACCCGCGCCTGTACCTACTCTCGCGCCCGCGCCCGCGCGCGTACTGAGCCCGCACCCCGCACCCACTCGGCGCCTGTATCCCTCGCACACGTCCGCGCCCGCACTGCGCCCGCACCCTGCACTCGCGCCCGTGCTCGCGCCCTGCCCCCGCACACACTGGCTGCACCCGCACCCTGCACCTGCGCGCGGACCGCACCCGCGCGGTGCCCGCATGCTGCACCTGCATCCCGCACCCGCCCCGCAAAGGGCCATTCACGGGCAGGCCACTGAGCTGGCTCTTCCCGTGCTGCTGCTGCTGCTGGGGACCCCCTGCTCGCACGCATAGAGCAGTACACAGTAGCAGCCCACCTCTTTCTCCTGAAGGCCCACCTCTCCTGACAGCAGAAGGTAACCCGCAGCGCACCTGGGGTCACCATCCACAGGACTCCTTTCCTCCCACCCTTATGGGAAGGTGTTCCCAGAGTCTTCCTGCCCAGAAGCCATCACTCCACACATCACAGTCCCTTCCCGCCTAGCCTAAGGCTGTTCGGGAGCCTGCCAAGCTAAGCTTGCACACTGAAACAGAATGAGGAGAGGGTGGGGCTGCCCCCTTCTGGTGGTCCCAGACCCTCCCCTGCTTCTGGGCTGGTGGCTGGAGTAGCTGGGGTTCCTGGCATGGACAACTGTTGAGACAGTAGCTGCTCTGTCAAGTGACTCAGGTCCTGAGAAGCTTACAATCAACCTGCCCAGATAGGGGACACACTCCCCTCCTCCAGGCCTGGTTCACCACTTGCAGGAGCTCCTGCTCTGGCCTGGAGAAAGAGGATCCAGTTCCCCCCCACACACCCCTTTTCCCCTCTCAAGTCCCTCTTGAAACTGTCTCTGAAGGCCAAGGAGGAAGAGGGCCTGGGGAAGTTCCCACAAAATCCCTGCTCTGAGGAGGGTGGGAGTGGATGGGGTCTGGCTGCTGCCCTGACATGAACCACTCACTGTTCCCCAAGGGCAGATTCTGGGCTTGTCCAGCTCCTGTCTCAGCCTGAGGGCAGCCCAGGGCCAGTCCTGGAAATCACAGCAAATATGTCCTGGTTAGAGGTGCAAACCAGGGTCTGCAAGGGACAGCAAGGGCCTTCCCAGCCTGGTTCCTGCCCTGGTTGCCTGAAGCCCCAGGTTGCATCCAGGAGACGGACAAACAGCTAGATGACAAGGGACACGCATGGACTGAAGGCAAGTGTGGGTCCCAGGCTGAGAGGGCAGAGGAAGCCTGGCCTTGACCTCGGCAGGCCACCAACAGGAGGGGAAACACATTGTGCCTCAGTGTGTGCCTTACATGTGGAGAACCCTGAGCATCCTGACAGCTGTAGGGCAAGGCGGCCCCTGAGGTTTGCTCCTGGGCTGCTATAACTCCGGGGATGGGGACGGGGCGGGGGGCGGGGGAGAAGCCTCTCTCTGCACCTGCTTAGAGCAGCTGCAGTTGCCCTGTCTGAGCTCCGGAAGGAGAAGGAGAAGGACAATGAAATACAATTAGCAAAACAAACAAAATTGTACCCCTCTGGAAGACAGGCTCTCTCCCCTAGTGCTCACTCCTGCCAGTATGTCCGTGAGAAGGCGAGGTGGCTGATATTGATGTGCTCACGCAGGAGGCATGGGTTATTGCTTCTCCATCTTACTAGATGAGACAACAGAGAAGCAAAGGGGAGGTCACTTGCCCTCAGCCACACAGCCAAGAAGTGGCTGGGACTCAAACCCCACTGCTATAAAGCTTCCCTTGCTTTTATCTTCATACACACACACACACACACACACACACTTCCATACATACATGCTTACATATACACACAAATACACATGTTCTGACACAAATACATACACACACAGGCACACAAAATATACATATACACACAAACACAGACAGACAGACACACACATACACACAGCTTCCAGCAGCCCTACACTGAGTGGTCTTTTGTGGGAACATCTTTGAAAAGGTGGGAAGGCTGTCCAGGACTGGGGTCACACTAAAAGTTGGAGGTCACTAAAAGGTACAGTTTGAGACCCACTGTGTCCTCTGTCTCTACCACATCCTAGAAGCTCCAGCAGCCCCTCCTGTGGGCCAAACATCAAGGCAGGACATGGTACCACCTGACAGGGCAAGAAGGTAGGGTAACCCAGCACCAGGCAATGGGGGAGGAGGGGCTGGACTGCCAGAGGCATCCAGACTGTTCCTGCCCCCCTCACCCCCTCCCCCGGGCCAGAGGGCTCCTCCCTAGAAGAGTGGAAAGACTGAGAGCGGCTTCCAGCTCTGACACTTTCTGCTCCCGGACCCCAGAAGCTCTCTCATCAGGCCTTAACTCCGATCAAGGGGGAGCAGACTCCCCCTTCATCCCACCCCTTCCCCTAACTCCAGGAAGGACCCTCCTCCACCCCCATGTCATCTCTGCCTCCCACATTGTCCTTTCTAGCTTCATTTCGTAAGCAAGGAGGGCTCTCCCTCCCAGGTGACAGCTGGGGCGGTTGTGGGGAATATCAGTTCTGGGAGGTTATTGTTAGGACAGTCACCATGGTAACAGCATCACATCTGCAAAGCCCAAAATGCTGCACATGGGGCTCATTCTCCCAAAGAAAGCCACAGCATCCCAATCCCTGCACCTCCAGGAGCTGCCATCATGTAAGGAGTGTCACTGCTCTTACCTCTCCTCTGCCCAGATATCTGCCTGGTTTAGAAAGCTGTGGTTTCCACAGCAGGAAGGCCCAAGTCCATCAATCCAGTCATATGGTCCTGGATATGGCCCATTCAGGATACCATGGCAGGCATGTGAGGTGGTGGTGGTAGTGATAGTGGTGATGGAGATGGTAGTGATCATGGTGATGATGGAGATGGTGGTGGTGATGGTGGTGATGGTGGTGGTGGTGAAGATGGGGATGGTGGTGGTGGTAGTGGTAGTGATGATGGTGGTGGTGGTGGTGAAGATGGGGATGGTGGTGGTGAAGATGGGGATGGTGGTGGTGGTGATGGGGTAGTGGTGAAGATGGGGATGGTGATGGTGGTGGTAGTCATAACAACAACGGTGGTGCTGATGGTGGTGATGACAGTGGTGATGGTGCATTTACCAAATGTCAGCAACCATTATAAAAGCCCACAATCCACCACCTCACATAGGAATCTAAGATACAGAAAGACTGGTGCTGGGTGGCGAAGCCAGTCCAGTATTGACCCAGATCCACCTTCATAACTTGTGCCCTTAACCACTCAAGAGTGACTTCTGGCCTTCTGTGTGCAGTTACCGCGTGCCAGCTGTGTGACTGGCCCTACCAGCCACCAATCACACCAGGGGAAGAGATGGACAAGGTCACTGTGTTTGCAAAGTTTACACCCAGGACTGACCGCAAACCAAGAAGGCACCCAGCAGTGGTGTTGTTATACAACATTCCCCCTTATCCACTGCTTGCCTTTCCACGGTTTCAGTTACCCACAGTCAACCACACTCCAAATATACTCAATGGACTATTGCAGACATAAACAATACATAAGTTTTTTGTTTTGTTTTGGCAATGTTAGGATTTGAACTCAGGGTCTCACACTTGCTAGGCAGTCGCTCTAGCACTTGAGCCACTCCACCAGTCCTTTGTTGTGATGTGTTGTTTTGTTTTGTCTCCAAAATAGAGTCTCAAAAAGTATTTGCCTGTGCTGGCTTCAAACCATGATCCTCCTGATCTCTGCCTCCTGAGTAGCTGGGATTACAGGCGTGAGCCACCGGCACCCAACCAACAATACGTAAGTTTAAGTTGCACACAATTCTGAGTAGTGTGATGAAATCTCACACCATCCCACTCTGTCCTGCCCGGGAAGTGAATCATCCTTTAGTCAGTATAACCACGCTGAATTGTATGTATGTACAGGAAAAAACATAGCATATGAAGGAGTCGGTACTGTCTGCACTCATTGGGGTCTTGGAATGTTTCCCCAAGGACAAGGCATGAATAACCTATGTAAACACATTACAAAAGAAAGTGGCCTGATGGAGACTGGCAGAGTGGCCCCTTCAGAGGGGGGTCCATGGAAGGCTTTCTGAGGGAGTGAGGTATAAGCTGAGGACTGAATGACAGAGAGGCTAGTATCAAGAGGACAAGTGGAATGTGTGTTGGCCAAAGAGGGAAAGGCCCTGTGGCTGTGCCTAACTTGTTGTTTAAGGAAGGGGGTAGGGGAGAGAGCCAGCAAAGGCCGCCCAAGCATAAGGTGGCACCACCATGTCCATGACTGGCCCACTTCCAGGTTGGAGCTCAGAGCCAACGCCCCTGTACCCTGACCCTCCCTGGCCCCTTGCAAGGTGGAGCCATCCTGTTTGACCCCACTGTGCCTGTCCTGGTTGGTGTCACTTCATCCTCAGACCTGGCCCCCAAAGACACTAACTCAGCCCAGCCCCCACCTCCAGCATTTCTGTCACCAGGACTGGTTGGTCTGAAAGGAGCAGGTCCAAATGACCAAGTGGGGTCAACCGCAGGTCCAGCTTCTCCTCCCCTCACAGTGGACACCAAGGGCTTGTTGTCACAAAAAGTGCCTCCTGGAGAGGGGGCCAGGATACCTGCACTGGAAGTCCAATCATACTATTCTGCACAGCCTCCACCCATGGGCAGGACGGCTGGACTGATGTGAAAGACCTGTGGACACACCTGAACTCCCACCATGAATAAAGAGGCCCAGGTACACCGGCCAGCCAACAGGAGATGCACAGAGGTGGCCCCCCAGTGTCCCCACATTCTGCTCTGGTATCAGCTCTTTCCTGAACTATGGCATGAAGATCCAGACATTACGTCCCTGTCCCA